TTAAAGCAGAGGCTTCTTTTTCTTCTCCCAGAAAGTCAGCAAGAGAAGCGGATCTCTGACAATTCTGTCGTATTTTACTAAATCCGTAGAGATTAAGTTGTCGAACTAAACTTTTCATACTCTCAGCTTCAAATATTTGGAATGGGGCCTTTCTTTCTAGAACTTCTTTCTTAAAAAGTTCTTCATTAATCACTACAGAAGTTCCATTTACATCCCACCAAATCGACTTCAACTGGTCACTTTCTACAATTTTCCAAAGTTTTTTGGGAAAGATTAGAGAAAGAAAATCATTATCTTCATCAGGTTCAGAGACACAAAATGTATAGTGTGGTCTATTTATCAAGAATCTTTCAGACAGAGCCTGAAAAGCATTTTCCTCAATCATCAGCCTCAAATCTGAGTCGTCACTGGATGTGTGGCCATACAGTAGAGTCCTAGTGGGGGTTTCAGAGCCAGTTGATTCATTTTTAGGAGAATCATCTTGAATTCCTGAAGAAGCGTGTGCCATGTCAAATAAATTTTTCTTCAGCTACTTTTCTCATCTGCATGGTTTTGAACACTGCAGCTTGAAATACTTCAATAAGCCTGCACAAAAAATTCTGTTCATCACAATTGTTCTCCAGCTGAGTAGCTGTGACATCAAAGGAGGACTGGTTGCCTAGCAATTAATGTGTAACATTCAGTCAAGAGTTTCCTGTGTAATTTATCAGTTCTATTCAGTTAAAGTAAAAAATATATGGATTCTTTATATAATATGATTCTGTAAATTCTCACCCCCTCAAAATATTTTTATCAGTTGCTTGTGCGCATACCAAATTAGTGCCAGAAGCATAAAGCCTGGTAAGTAGACAATGCCAAAAATGAATAATAACAAAAGATTCAAGAAGCTCTGGCATTTTAAAACAAACCTATTTGTAATATGGATACAGAAATCCAAGAAGCAGACCAGTGGCTGCCAGGGGTCAAGGTGGATGATCGTTTACATAGGTATGGGGTTTCCTTTGGGGATGAAGAAAATATTTTGGAAGTAAATAGAAGTAAAAAAACATACAGTATTCTGAATATCACTAAATAGTACTGATATGTGTACATTAAAATGGATAATTTTACATTTTGTAAATTTTAACCCAATTTTTTGAAAAGCAGAGATCTGTCATCTTTTATGATTGAAATAAACCATAACTAGGTTTCATAAAGAAAGTGTGCTTTATGTAGGATCTCTGCTGGCACAGTAGTTAAAGTACTCAGGTACTAACCAAAAAGTTGGCAGTGTGAATCCATGAGCCACTCTGAAAGGGAAAGATGAGGCAGTCTGCTTCCGGAAAGATTTACAGCCTTGGAAACTCTGGAGCAGTTCTACCTTGTCTTACAGTGTCGCTGAGTTGGAATCAACTCAATGACAATGGGTTTTGTTTTTTGTACTTCATGTAACTAATTTTGTTTGAAAGGCAGCATCCAAAACATTTTCACAATTAGATACTAATAGAATAAATATGTTACTTGATATGTCTATTAATGAGAAATATTCAGTAAGTAAAGTTACATGTGATTTTTATTTATTTATTTTCAATTGTAATTTGGGTGAAAGTTTAGAGAGCAATTTGGTTTTCCATACATTTCAAAACATTCTGTTTTGTGACATTCACTGCAGACCCCACACTGTACCAGCATTCTTCCCAATACCTCTTTGAGCCTAGCCCTTCTTCTTTGTCTTTCCTTCCCATCCCTGCCTTCCTAGTTCTATCCTGGATCAAGTGATATCTTCTTAATCTCGTCTCCTTGGTTTTGCTTGTTCTAATGATGGTGTACCCTCCTAATACTACTGTTCACCTTACAGGCCTGTGTGTTGTCTGGCTGCAAGCTGAGTCATATGGGGTTAAGTTCTTAGCCTGAAGGGTATCTCAGAGCCATTGTCTCAGGGCTCCCATCAGACTTCATCAGATCAGAAAGCCTGGTCTTTTTTATGATGTTGACTTTAGTTTCCTATTTTCCCCCACTCTCTATGGTACCTCCAATTGTGATATCTTTCAGAGAAGTCCACAGTGGTAGCCAGGGACCATCTGTTTGTGGTCTCAGGTTCATAATGACTCGGATTCACATAGTCCATTAGTCCTTTGAAATAATTTTTCCCTTGTATCTTTGATTTTCTTCACTCTTCTCTACTCTGGATGCAGAGAGACCAATAGTTGCACCTTAGACAGCTGCTAACAACCTTTAAAGACTCAATCCACTATTCCTCAAAGTAGGATACGGAACATTATCTTTGTGGACTCTGTTACACCAATTGACTTTAGTGTCCCCCAAGACTATAGTCCAGAGCCTTACACCCAGCCACTCATTCTCTCAAAGCGGTTATGACTAACGTGTTTATAACACTGCCCTCTGTATGCTCTGCTACATTCATGGATATATTTGTTCCATATGTAAATACATACGTAGAGATGCTCTCTGGCAAACCATATATGTCCATGAGTATAGTCCCATTCCCTTTCTCATCTCTGTTGAGATGTCTGTGTACTCACTCATAGATTATTGTTATTACTGTTATTGCAGGATTGTGTATGTAATAGTATCACATTTGTTGTTTTTAACAATTGTGCATCTCCTTGTATCTTCCACTGGCTTAATTATTTTATGCTGACCTCCCCCTTATTGTATATTCCTTTCACTTCATCCAAGTTAGTACACATCTACCCCTCTAGTTGGTGATTTACCCTCCTTTCCCCTCCCGCTGCTGGTGAGCCTCAAAGAATAATTCTGTTTGTAAACCTTTTCTTAACGTTTTGCAGTATTGGCCTCCATACAATAATTGTCCCTTGTGGTTGACTAATTTCACTGAGCATAGTGTCCTCTAGGTTCATCCATGTTACGAGGTGTTTCACAGGCCCATTGTTACTCTTTAATATCGCGTAGTATTTCACTGTGTGGATGCACTATAGATCGTTTATCTATTCATCCATTGATAGGCACTTAAGTTGTTTCCATCTTTTTGCCATTGTGAATAATGCTGTGATAAATATGGGACTGCATGTGTCTGTTTGAGTCATAGCTCTTATTTCTCTAGGATATATATTTAGTGGTAGTATTGCTGGATCATATGGTTTGTCTGTTTCCATTTTCTTATGGAAGCACTACTGCTTTCTCCAGTGGTTGTACCATTTTATAACTACATCAGAGGGTCTAGTCTCTAACACTCTCACAAGCACTTGCTGCCTGTTTGTTTGAATTTTGCTTATTAATGTTGGGGTGAAATTATATCTAATTTTTGTCTTGATTTACATATGTCTAATGGCTTAAAAACATTTTTAAAAGTTCTGGTGGTGCAGTGCTTAAGCATTTGACTGCAATCAAAAGGTTGGTGGTTCCAACCCACTAGTCACTCCATGGAAGGAAGTTGGGGCAAACTACTTCTGTAAAGATTTACCACTTTGGAAACCAGTGGGGGTTGCTATGAGTCCGAATCAAATTGATGGTAGTGAGTTTGGTTTTAGAAGCACTGGTGGCATATTGCCTGAGGCATTTAACTGCTAACCACGGGACTGGTAGTTCAAACCCACTAGCCATTGCGCGAAAGGAAGATGCGGCAATACGTAAATATTTACCCCCTCAGAAACCCAATG